CCTGGCCGACACCTGGACTTCCTTTTCCAAGGTACCTAACTGCTAGCCCAGGGGACCTGCACCCAGCCCCCAAACAGAGCTTCTGACCCCTGAGAAGAGCCTGGGAAGACCTGCAAACAATGGCCGCTTCATCCTTCAGTTTTAAAACTCTTGCTCTACGCCAACCAAAGCAGCAACCAGCAGGGTTGTTACTGCCACTTGAAGTTTAAGGAGGGAGAAAAAAAATTTCCTCCCAACTGGGAAAAGGTGGGACATTCATTTTCTGTTGCGGTAACAAATGGCCACACACTCAGCATCTCAAAACAGCACCAAGGTACTCCCTTCGTCCCTATGGGCCAGAAGGGCATCCTGTCGTCACAAAGCCAGGCACTCTGGTCGGTGTCTCACAGAGCTGGACTCAGGTGTCAGTTGGTCAGGGTCAGGGTCACGTGGGGATTGCAGAATTCAGTTTCTTGAAAGTTGTAGCATTCAGCCCCCCTCCCCTCACCACCTCCCCATCTCTTACTGGCTGCAGACTAAGGGCTGCAAGGAATGAGGCTCCTTGTGAGGTGACCCCTCCTGGCCCCTCTCATGCTCTGCATCTCCCCCCCCCCATTCAGGAAAAGCTGGGTCCGTTTGGAGGGAATCACCTGATTTGGTCAGGCCCGCCCGGACTAATCCCCCTCTCAAAGTCAACCGTGCCACGTTGTGTAATGTAAGCATAAGAGCAATGTCTCGTCACCCACACTCAAGAGGATAGGGTCATTTCAGGGCACAGGCCATCAGGGGCCCCCAGAACTCCTTCCGCCTCATCCTACATGGGGATACTGGATTAGAAGGTGGGCGGCGAGGACAAGGAAACGGCGTCTTTCGGTTTGGACAGAGCTGCTGCAGTGGGGAGGGCACATCAGAGACAGCCAGAGGTCACTCTTGCCTCTGTCCCACGGCTTTGGAGTCACCTTCCCTGGGGCGCCATCTCAGCCATGCAGAATGCTGGGGGACCCTCAGAGTCCCCAGCCTGGGAGCAGTGCTGACCCAGCAGGCGACTGTGGGCCCCTGGGAAACGCTGTCCTGTCAACACTGTCCCCCTGAGGCCTCCAAGTCCACAGCCCCGTCCTCGCCACTGTCCCACCTGAGGGGCTCTGGACGCTTGGCTTTCCCCCACCTCAGGCTGGAATTAAGTTATCGCCTGGGTCTTGAGTGATCGCAGGTGACCGTGGAGCTCCCAGACTGGGTCCCCCGACCTGAGTCAGATCCCGGGCCTCTGTCTGGGCTGTGTCCCTGCCCATCGAGACACTTGGTGGCTAATGAGGGAAGCTCCTCCTGGATCCTGAGAGCGGGGCTGGTGTGCGAGCCCTGAGCCGTCCAGGCCACAGCAGGACACGGGACCCAGAGCCGCTCTTGCGCCCAGGCGGAGGCTGTGCTGCCACGAGACCCAAGGTGAACCCAAGGCGTGCCCTCCCGGCTGCCCGTAGCCTCCCCTTGTTGACACTTAACACGAATCCACTGAATGGGGGACATGGCCAGGGGCCCGACTGGACATCCATCTTTGGCCCCTCCAAGATTCAGAGAGAGACAAAGAAGAGGGCAGCCTCCCCACTGCAGTCCCTCCCCTGGCCTCCACCTGCTGACCCCCACCCCAGCTCAGGATCCACCTCCCCAGCAGCTTGGAGGCAGCAGTGTGCCCCGTCCCTGGTGTCCTCGGACCCCTGCAGGTCCCCCAGGCCAGCACTGATCAAGACAGCTTGCAATCGTTCCTGTCCCTTTCTCTTGCCATACCCATGGGGACAAGGACAGGTGGAGCTTTGGTCACCTCTGTGTCCCTGGCATGCCCAGATCCAGGAAGTTTCTGGAATAAGTGCATGAGCCCATGAATGAATCAAGATCCTCTGGAGACCCAGACTCCAAGTCCCGTGGCTGACAGCTGGACTTGGTGGGGGTCAGCGGCCGTGGGGTGCCGTGGAGGGAGGTCCCGTGGAGGGAGGTCCCGTGGAAGAGCCCACGCGGGCTTCGATGGCCACATTCACGTCCATCCTCAGGAGGCTGCTGTGGGGTGCAGCGGGAGCCAGGTCCTCTGGAGCCCTGAGGGCAGAGGTCAAGACTGGAGGCCAGAACTCACTTCTTAGCAAGACCTCTGCTGAGCAGGGTGGAGCGTCTGCTGGCGGCCACCGCTGTCCAAACGGGAGGGCACAGGCTCGAAGGAGCCTGCACCCAGAGGGAGATCCTGCCGTCTCTGAGGTCCCCTGTCGTCCAGGATCCTACTGCCCATGACCTGTGCCTGTGACCTGTGACACCCAACGGCTCCCTGCGGGCCCTGAGGCCACTCCCACTCGCCAGGGCTTCCCCAGGGCCCGGAGCCCAGGATGGGAGCGAAGTGAGAGCTCGCAAGGTGGAGGGCCCCGGGGAGGGTGACAGGGGCCAGAGAGGCCCAAGGGACGAACTCAGGTCCAGCGGGCTGACGGGTCAAACCCCCGCTGCCCTTGGCCCACGAGTCCCAGGCCAGCGCCGTCCACTCCTGGACCTCAAGAGTGAGCCTCGCACGGCACCTGCACTGAGGCCACTGGGAGGTCAATGGCCTCAAGGGCCCTTGATGACGGGCCCTTCCTGTCATCGCCAGAGCCCCCCAAAAACCTGCGGTTCTGCTCAGCAGCCGGGTTAACCTGGGCCACTCTCTTCCCTCCCCGAGACAGCCAGGCCCGAGCGCCCCGCCAGCCTGAGGCCCGCTCTCCTGGGGCCAGCGCCTTTCCGGGCATCCATCTCAAACAGGCCCTCGGGGGGTCCCCGTCAAAGGGCCCCTGTGTGAGCCTCAAGCGGGGCATTGATAGGGCCCTCGGGGGCCGCCCAGGCGATCGCAGGCCCGCTTGGCTTGGCCAGCGCCTCGGACTTCCCCCAACCCAGCTATTTCCTGCTCCCCGCCGGCCCCCTCCCAGCTGCCTGGCCACAGGACACAATCCCACCATAGAGCCCAGCCTGCCCCCGGGCTCGCCGCCAGCAGTGGGGGTGGGGGAGGACAGGGCAGTCACATCCGGGAGCCCAGGGTCTCCTGGTCCTCAGGACACACAGCCAAGGCCCCTTGGTCCCTTCAACAGGACACAAGGTGGGGGCAAGGCCAGTACCCCTCTTCCTGTGACCCCTGCTGGGAATCTCCACTCGTGGGTGCTCCCTGGGAGCAGGGGCCTCTCGTATGGATCTCCACCGGGGCAGGGAGATGCCTTGAGTCTAATCTCTGACAGCTGTGTGACCTCGGGACGTCCCTCGACAGCTCTGAGCCCCGGTTGTCTCTGTCTTTTAGAGTCACACTTTGTCAGTTGCTCGGGGATCTGATGGAGAACAGAGGAGGCCCTTGGAGAAAAGTACCACCCATCACCCGAGGAGAGCTGGGGGCTGGCGACACCTCCCACCCCACCTCTGCCCCCCTGCAGCAGGACGCCGGCCCCAGCCTGCGCATGCGCCCCAGCCTTCCATCACTTCCTTCCTAAAAAGAATCTCCACCGGGGACTTCCTTGGTCAAAGCCCTGCACAGACGCCCCGTCCCAGGACTGGCTCCTTGACATGGTCCTGGGCATGACATCCAAGGCTGTTTTGGCGTCCTGTGACATGGGGACAGGTCTGAGCTCACACTGCCCCTCCTCTCTGAGGCAGTCCTTCCCCACCCCAGTGGAGAAGGCAAGAGAGAAGACACAGCAGAAACTTTCCACTCTTGGATCCAGCCAGGCCTGAAGCCCAAATTCCTGGACTTGTCACGTGTGGTGAGAGCCGGGAAGCATCACGGCCGTCTTTCCGCATCGACCTCTGGGGGTCGTCGACTTGGTTCATTACAAACATCTTCCTCCTGTGAGTTCTCTTTTAGGATGCGCCCTGCCCTGCCCTCCCTCCACACTGGAGCCCCACTGAGCGGCCCTGCAGGGAGGTCCTGCGGCTCTGTACCCCTGGTCCTCGGGACACACAGCATGTCGTAGCCACCGCCTACCGCAGCTTGGCTTCCTGGGAGCCTTCTCAGGAGGCTGCTCTGGCCCTCAGGAGCCTGAGACTCAGACTTTCCATGCGTGGTGTCCACACTGGGCTGTCACAGTGACTAGTGGATCCGTGCCCTGCACAGTCTGTCACTGGAGGCGAGCCACCCCCAGGACAGGAGGGCGCTCTGCGTGCGTGGAGCCCACACCTGACCTGGAGGCACGGGGCTCTCACCTGGTCAGTGTTGGTGCTGGGTCCTGGCACTCAGTGGGCGTGGCCCAGGGGGCTCCTCAGTGGAATAGGGGTGTGTGTGCCTGAGTGACAGAGGCAGGGGGTCCTCGCCCCTCCTACACCTCCTGCCAGGAGCCACAGGGGCAGGGCGGAGCTTCTGGCTGCTCCAGTGAAACCTCTTGGGAGTCACATGCTGAGCGATGGCACGTGGTGTGGCTGCAGAGGCTGCAGCGTCTCCAGTGTGGGGCAGCTCCCGGGGAACCTCCTACTGCCACCATGGAACGTCCAGGCCCTCAAGGGTTTGCCTGTCCCACCCAAGTTCAGCAGGTGGATGTGACAATCTCAGGGCTGTATTCTGCAGGACCACAGGTCCCTGGATGGGACCAGCCTGGCAGCGGGACAGCCTGACAGCTGGACTGTGGTCAAGGTGACCCTTGCTTGGAATCCACTGAGATGTGACCAGGCTGGGCCCAGGGACGCCAGGGGCCAGCGTCTGACTGCGGGTAGTGACGACTCCAGCAAGAGAGTCCTGATCCTGAGCCCCTGTTTCCTGACAGCTTCGGGGCGACGGGGAGACTGGGGATTCTCATCTGAATTAACGAGCATTCACCGCGGGGGACTACACTGGCCAGAGTGGGCCACCGACCTTGGGTCACTTTGGACTGAGTGACCTGATCAAACTTTATCACTGTTCTATCACGACTTTGAGTGACGCTGGGCTGCTGCTGCTTGATGGTTTAAGCAAACTGTGTGAAGAAACTGATTTTACAGAGATGGGGGGAGACGGGGCCTCACTGGGGATGGTCACAGACCCATCCTATAAATGACCAAGGGACTGTGGTTTGACCAATTTATTTCGTTGACTGACTGATGTGCTTGTGTCTGACGGCTGCTGGGGTAGACTGCGGAGCTGCTGGTTGTTTGCCAAGCTCACCACATTCACAGCAACCAGCCGTCTAAAATGACTCCTTGCTGGTGGACGTCAGCAGAGCTGTTGGGCTCGATTTGCGGCCTTCAGCCTGACCCAAGGGAGAGTGCCTGGGGCCCGCAGGGGGAGCAGGCCAGCGAGGGGACACAGCAGTTGTCCTGAAGTCGGCCGGTGGTCCACCAGGGCCACCAAAGCAAAGCAGCAGATTATGAGGCAGCTGGGCCCAGATCAGGGCTGGGGCCTGGCGAGGGTCACACCTCTGAGTACGGGGGTGGAGCGGGGTCCCCCTCAGGAGACTTGGAAGGCAGAGACAGGGCTTCCTCGTAGGTCGGCAGGACCACCTGGGAGGGACAGAGAGAAGGGGGCTGACTGTGGTCAGGAAGGACCACGATTCCAACCGCAGTGGAGGGGCCCCAGCCCACACCTCTGGCAAATGACGCTGCTCATCCCGGCCAGAGCGTCTTGGCGCTCACCCTGCGCTAGACACTGCCTGCCTGGGATGGGGTCTCTGTCCCCACAGTGGATACACTTGTTGCCCATTCGGCCAGGAGTTCCCATGTTTTGATGACAAGGCGCCATTTTCCTTGAGGAAACATTCTTAGTCCCTTCGTTTTCCAAAGAGCTGGACCATCCTCCAGATCCAGGGGGTGGGTCTGTGGCCTGGGCTTGCTTGGCCAAAGTAGAATGCCATCCCCCTGGCTATGGCCATTGGTTTGGAGAAAAGCATGTGACCTAAACTGGTCCAATCAGATATACTCCTCTTTCTGTTGGACTACCAAGAAGGCGGGATGTAGGCCTATGGGTTCTGGCAGCCACTTTGCCACCATAAGGGAAACACTGCCTGGAAACAAAGCCAGCACTGAGGAAAGCGGAGTCAAACGATGGAGGATCCTGGCATCAGGACCAGGCCTGGGCCAGACCCTCAGTGGACTTCTCAGTCCTTTGATCTGGAAAGTTCCCTTTTTCACTTAAGTCAGATTGGGTTAGGTTTCTGCCACTTGCAACCAAGCTTGTCTTTATTAGTATGATCCCGCTGCACACGAGGAGCGTGCCCATGGCAGCTCCTCACCCGGCTGCTCCTGAGCACGCTCGGTCCCCCACTGAAGCCCCTTCCCAGCTCCCTGTACCCTTGAAGCAAGGAAGACTGGGCCAGGGCCCCCTTCTGCAGGAAGCCTCCCGACACCCGAGAAGTGCCCACTGCTCTCCCTGTCTTCACACCCAGTCGTGCCTGTGTCTCTGGGTCCGGGCTCTCTCTGGACCACACCCGCTTCCAGGACAGGAACCTGGGTTTTCTCTGCACCCCAAGTTTGGATATGAGGCTCAGGGGCAGGCAGGCTCCTGCTCAGACCTTCAGAACTGAGAGCTTCACGACCCTTCCGTCCCACCCTTACCTTCACGTGCAAAAACTGAGGCCCAGAGAGGGAAAGGTACTGGCCCCGAACGGCACAGTGAGAGAGCGGCAGAGCCCCCCTCGGCCCAGCTCACCTTCGGGAGCGTCTTGGAGGCGCCCCTCTCCTCGGCCGAGTTCGCGGACTTCAGGAGTCTGTAGCATCTCCACACGCACTTGAGCATGTAGACCTGGGCAGGGGCAGGGTCAGGCTGCGCTCCCCGGCCCTCCCGCCCCGACCCAGAAGGCAATGGCCCGCTGCCGCCACCCAGCAAGGGGCCTGGCAGGGTGGGCCCTCCAGCCGCACTGGCGATGGCCCTGCAGGTCCCTGACCACCCGGGCAAGGAGCTCACTCCCCAGAGGACCAGCCCATCTCCAGAGAGAGCAGTTAGGAAGCAGCCTCCCTGCCCGGCCACGCGGACCCAGGAAGGGGGGGTGCGGAGGATCCATCGGCTGAGCCGGCCCCAGCGTCCCCTCAGCCGTGGGAGGAAGGACCGGGAAGGGTTCAGGGTGGACACGCTGGGCCACAGAGACACCCCAAACTGCTCCAGGGAAGAGCCCCAGCCCTGCCACCTGGCAGGTCCCTTGGTGGGACTTGGATGGCACAGAAACAAACAGAGAGGATGAAGAGTGAGAGCAGGAGGGGAAGGGCCAGCAGCCGCCCAGGAACCATGGGGCGAGAACGAGCCCCGAGCCCATTCTGAAGGAGAGAGAGAGAAAGGAGGGACTGGGCTGGAGTTCGGGTCTCCAGTGGGGCACACAATGTCACTCCCCACTCGGCTCCACCTTGAAGCCACTCATGCCCCTCAGCTGTTTGCCTGCCACTGGGAAGCTACTGTCCCCTCCCAGAGACAATGTTCAAAGGAGTGCACTTCTGTCTGGGGGAGCTAGTCTCTGCCGTGGGCCTGTTGCCCCCGAGGAGACCCTTCCCCTCCTCCTTTCTCCCCTCCAAACCTCTACTCATATGACCCCAGGTCCCATCTGCACGGTGACTTCTGACCCACTTAACGCTGTGCTACGGGCCAAGCAGGACACAGACGCCCCCACTGCAGATGAGACCCCCCAGAGAGCCACGACCTGCTGAAGACCCGCCTCGGCTCCAAGCAAGTCTGTCCCAGCCTGATCCCAGACAGTGGCTGCAGCAGAGCACTCTGGGCTGCACCCTGAGGCCCTGACATCTGACACAGGTGGCCCCTGCAGACCTGTGTCCTCTAAAGGGACGTCCCCAAGGATGCCAAATGGCCAGAGGGCTAGATAAAGCAGGGAGGGTGAGGATGGGCCCACTTGACGCCTCAGCTGAGCCTCAGACCCGGCCGCTCACCTTCAGGACCAGGACGGTGACGAAGGCGACGGAGAAGATGACCATCGTCCTGATGAACTGGCTGTGGGCCAAGCCCTCCTGGCTCGGGAAGTAATTCTGCAACAGAGTCGGGGTCCCATCAGCACCTCAGGAGCTCCCGCGGGAACCGTCTGGGCGGGACAGGGCGGCCCGAGCCCTCTGGGTCTACCGCACCCACGGGGGTCTGCCTCGCCCCGAGGCCGCCAGAGGAGCGGGGCAGCGGGCACATCCCCGAGGATGCCCAGTGGGCCAGAGGGCCAGACAAAGCAGGGAGGGCAAGGACGGCCCAGCCGGGGGCACCTGGCCCACTTGACGGCCTCGGCTGAGTGGTGGCCGGCAAACCTAGGAAGCAGGTGCGGCTGCAGTTCTGGTCCCTTCCCAGCCGGGCAGGACACCCTGTGCCCTCTGAGCGGGTAGGAGCCACCTAGCCCTTGGTACTCCTAGCTTGTGACGGACTGGCGCAGGGGCCTGGCCCTGGCGAGACGCCTCGGGCGGGATCTGCCCGCAGAGCTCCATCCTCTGCCCTGGTGTGCGGGCTGGTCTTGGTGACTCACTTCTAATGAGCAGCATGTGGCAGACCTGACTGTCCCACATCTGACACAGGCATGAAAGACGTTGCCACTTCCTGCTGCTCTCCTGCCAGGCCGCGGTGGAGGGGAACCAGCAGCCGTGCCATTGGGGCACGCAGCAGCCGAGCAAGATCCATGGCTGGGGCCCGGGCAGAGCACCGGTGGCCATGAGGAGCCCTGTCGGCGCAGTCCTCAGGTCCACACAACCCTGAGGGGCCCTGGGTCGGGCCAACCTGCTCCCCACCTCCTGATCCTCACAGGGGAAGTGGTAAGTGCTTTAGACGGGGATGTCTGGGGACCAACTGTCAGGTGACAATAAAAAAAAGGAAAAGGAAAACTAGTGCTATTTCTGTGGTGCCACTAACAATCCAGGCCTCCCTCTGGGACCAGCAGGGCTGCTCCCATGGCCACACAGTTGCCTGGCTCCTGTCCTTCCTGGCACCCGCTTCTCGCACTTTGTCCAAGTTTCTTCCTGAGTGGGCTCCCTCAGTGAATCACACACGAGAACCTTCCTCCCAGGAAACCCAAGCCTGGAGGCACAGAGAGGCCAAGTAAGTTGCCCCAGGCCACACAGCCAGTGAGCTGGCATGGACCTCTGCCCCAGACTCACCATGTGGTTCATGGACTTGAAGTTGAGATAGGTGGGCACTTCCATGTAGGAACTGCAGAGGGTCAGGATGCTCAGGCAGAAGTCCAGCAGCTGCAGGGTCATCAGGGGGACCTTCGAGGGGCCCTTGGGAAGGCAAATCAGAGGGAAGAATGGAGACCAGCAAGCAGAGGCCAGATCCTTGCGGGGCACCTGTGGGCTCTTCCTGAGAGACTGTCTCAGTAGGAGAGCCCAGTGACCCTCCAGTCCCCAGGGAACCCAGGGAGAGGCCCCCGTGGTCACAGCAAGGGCTGGTGGCAGAACTCCAGCAGGCTCTCTCAGCTGCAGACCAGGGCCCCCCTGTGACAGGACCCCCGGCCTCTTCCAGAGCGACAATCAAGCACAGTGTGATGAGTGACCTCGGCAGGACCAAGCCTGGCCCCAGCCATAGCCGCGTTCCTGTGTCATTCACTGGTTACTGTCCTCTCCTTCTCTGACCACTTGGTCCCAAAGGAGGGACAACTGGGACTGGGGCTGAGAAGGACACGTGCCTC